GATGACCGCAACACGACCTGCTATTGCCTATGTGGTTAGTTTTGGTTAGTTTACCCCGCCAGTTGTTATATTGCAAAGGTGAAGAAAACTTTTCCGTATTTAAAAAGTTGAGGTTCAAGTCCGGTTTGATCTTATTTACACATTTGGAATCGTAAACCAGTCATTGTCATATAGTGGGCGCAGATCATGGAAGTGACACAATAACTGTTTAGTCGATGCTAAACGTCATTTTTCTCATTTAGAAACCAAAAAATTCTCATAATTCATAATTGATATCCCTAAAGCATGTCCTTAATAATGTTAAGGTTTAATTTAAAGGCGCAGTTTCAATAAAAGCCGAGCAAATAATATTGAGAACATCAGAGAATCGACTAGATCACTAAGGGGGCAGTGAAAATAGGGTTCAGACAAACCATCGACGACGCCTTTAAAAGAAATAACGTGAACGCGGGAAACTGTAATATTTCGATAGATTTGCCTCCCATTTCGAACGCTAAAAATGTTCAAATATATCACGGCCATTTTTCATCGCAATGCGGCGCCCGTCTGGCATTAAGCCCGGTTAAAAGCCGAATTGATACGCGTTGCTCTAAAACAATTCCTTCGTCTAAAAATGGCGCCTTTTATTCCTTTTTAATTACGTCTCGTTTGAGCGCATCTTTGGGCGGCGCCCTTTGAAAATCGCCCTTTGAAAAACTCCTTTGATAATTCCGTTTCAAAGTGTTTCCGTAAAACAGTAGCGAAAAAAATGCCGCCCCCACGGTAGCGAAACAAAAAAACTGACGGTAAACGGCTAGGAGGCTTATATTATTCGAAGCTTATCAATTATGGATGCAATACTAGGAGCTGGAAGCTTTCGCTTCGGATGGACGGATTACATATTTATAAGGAAAAAGTTTTCGGAATTTCGAGAGGCCCAGGCCGCCGCCCCCTTCGCTCGGATGAACTTCACTTGAGTCAAATTGAATTTCGTTCTCCGGAATTCGATTTAAAGAGAGTCAGTTTGAGGTTCCACGTATAGGGTGACCCCTTTATGTCGGGAAGCTTTAAGGTTGTTCGGAAAGTCATTTCGTTTTTTCCCGTCAGAGGACTTAATTACGTTTTTTCGAAACCAACTTCACACTTAAGCCGCATAACCATTATATGTCTTGAGAGCTGATATTGCAAGGCTTGTGTGTGAAAAAGTTCTATTAATTCTACGCAGTAGTTTTTGGTTGGTGCCCTTTTAAATATGGAGAGCAATAAGCAGCATTTTCGTCATATTTTACTTTTTTACTTCAGAAAAGGTAAAAATGCTGTCCAAGCGAGAAAAAAATTGACGGATGTGTATGGAGAAGGCGTGTTAACAGTACGCCAGTGCCAGAACTGGTTTGCAAAATTTCGATCCGGCAATTTTGATGTCGAAGATGCACCACGGTCTGGAAGGCCGGTCGAAGCTGACAAAGATGCGATAAAGGCATTAGTTGATGCAAATCGGCGAATAACCACACGAGAGATCGGTGAGAGATTAAATTTGTCGAATTCGACTGTTTATGGCCATTTGAAAGGCATGGGCTTAACCTCGAAGCTCGATGTGTGGGTGCCCCATGTCCTTACGGAGCGAAATTTGTGTCGTCGCGTTGACGTGTGTGATTCGCTCCTCAAACGTCAAGAAAATGATCCATTTTTGAAGCGGATTATTACTGGGGACGAAAAATGGGTTGTATACAACAATGTTAAACGCAAGAGGTCATGGAGCAGAAAAGATGAACCGGCTCAAAGCGTGTCAAAAGCCAACATTCACCAAAAAAAGGTGATGCTCTCCGTTTGGTGGGATGTCAAAGGAATCGTTTTTTTTGAGCTTTTGCCGGAGAATACAACGGTTAATTCAGAAGTCTATTGTCATCAACTGGACAAATTGAATGATTCACTTAAAGAGAAGAGGCCCGAATTAATCAACAGGAAGGGTGTAGTGTTCCACCAGGATAATACGAGACCTCACACAAGTTTGGTCACTCGCCAAAAACTTTTACAGCTTGAATGGGACGTACTGCAACATCCACCATATTCTCCAGATCTGGCGCCTTCCGACTACTATTTGTTCCGGTCCCTGCAAAATTTTTTGGATGGCAAAACCTTTACCTCAAATGAAGATGTCAAAAACCACCTGAACCAGTTTTTTGCCAGCAAGGACCAAAACTTTTATGAGAGGGGAATTATGTTACTGCCAGAAAGATGGCAAAAGGTGTTGGACCAGAATGGCCAATATATAATTAATAAAATATTTATTCATTATATGAAAACTGTCTTTCATGTTCCCCAAAAAAAACGAAATGACTTTCCGAACAACCCAATACTTTGTCTCGAGTATGACGTTTGCAGATTCATAAATTTCAAATTTTCCTACAAATATTAGAAACATTTTATTAATTTCGGAACTTCTAAAAGCTTGTTTTGCAACAGGACTGACTCTGACATTCGAGCAGCTGTAGTTCTTCGGTTGCCGAACAAACCAGCACATTTGCGACTTCGAAACTGTAGTCGCAACTCCCAAAGAAAAACGTATAAGATCCCAAGTTTTAACCGTCTCCGTCTCAAAGGTATTGGCTTCAATATTTCCGGACTTCTGCGGCGACATAACGAAGTTTGTCGGCAAGTCGTTTGTCGAAGTTACCTAGAGAAGAAAAAGCCACGTCCCCAGTATAATCGGAAAAGCTCGTTATAACGGCTTTATTTCGTCTTTTCTTCGCTCTAACTCTGCAAAAAATCCCGGAGTTTCGGTACAAATTAGATCAGCTGATTCTCCTTTTTGGGGAGCGCGCTATGCGATGATACGTTTATTATGAATCGATCGTGTTTCACTGACGCGAAACACAGGGTGCTGCACGATCGCTCTGAAGTTTAGGGTACTGGCATGGAATTTATTTATTTATTTACTGACAATTTAGGTTGTATACAGTACAAAGTACCAAAAAAAGCATCCTCGTTGTATGTTAGAAAGATGAATATAGCATGTTGCAAAGTGATATAATAATATAAAGTTTACATTTTGATTAGAGTGTTCTATGTCGTATTAAAACCTAGAAAATATTTCCTCACCTGCTTTTAAATATCGACATCAAGAAAGCAGTTATGTTGGTTCGGTACTGGTCTATATCTCTGTCTCATGCGTTCTGCCTTGGTATTCGTAGGTTAATCTTTGATAAGAGGTAAGTAGAGTCAACGAAAGTTTACTATGAACAAACGCATAGTACAATGTAAGAAGAGATTTGGGGTTTTCAAAATCTATTTGATTATGATTATTTTGACAGTATTGTTCCAAGCGCAGAAGGCCTTCTTGGAGATTTCTATCTTCGTGTATATATTCAAGTCGTCGACGAAGAGTAGTATTTTACAACGTTTAAAACATTTTTGTATTGAATTATTATATATTATAAAAAACAAAGGGCCAAGATGACTGACCTGTGGTACACCGGACGTGATGTCAAAAAACTCCGCTTTATATCCATCGACTGTCACTCTTCCTTTTCTATCACTAAGACAATCTAATCTTTTCGGCCCCAACTCCGACCTCTGCAAACCTAGTCGACAATATTTGGTGGTCTATCATGTCGAATGCCTCACTAAAGTCGGTGTCGAATACGTCAACCTCTCCTTTATTGTCAATTGTCCTTGTTAAAAATTCAGAGAAACTCAATAAGTTTGTTTCGAGAGACCTCCTTTAGGAAACATTTTTTAAGGTTTTTCGGTGTGCTGGAATATGGTCAACTGACAGCCAGACGTTTAACGAAAAATATTTTATATTTTCAACTATTCTCTGAAGCTGAAGGCAGGAATATGGACTCATCTAGTGAAGACGATATTCCACTCGCTCTTCTGAAGAAATGGACATGAACAACGGAAGTCTCTAATTCTTCTTTCAATGTTTCCATCTTACAAATTTCTCTTTTGCCACTATGCAACGAAATAGTTTCTAAAATAGTGGCAAGAAAGCAAGAGGCAGTATAATTAACCAGTTCTCCCTACAAAAACGATTTAGAAGAAAGAAGAAAACGATATTCAAGAGAAACTTAGGTTTGACAAATCCACTCCTAAAAGTTCAAGAGGATAAAGAGTCTTGGTACTGTGCCATGTGTGAAAGAAATACTGTCATAGACATGATCCGTTGCCTGAAATGTAAAGTGCGGCATGATGCCAAATGTGCAAAGGTCTCTCAGAAAGTGCAAAGATATGTTTGTACTATTTGCGTTTAAGTAAACTGTTTTAAAATTAGCGTAAAAAATAATTATTGTTTTTTATATTCAGTCCAATTTAGGACACAACCTTTAAACACATTTTATTTTTCCAGAAAATGTATGATTTATAATTTATTTTTTAATATTGCGTTTTCTTTTTGGTATTACATATAATTGGTATAATATTCTGGTATATTTACATTTGCTTAAAATTGTGCTGAATAAAAACAAAAATTGAGAGGTGGTCCAAATTAGTCTCCTTTACCCTATTGTTTTAAAACTAATATAGACAGGAAAATTAGACTTAATCTCGCGAATTGGTACATTTTGTTCAACGATTTTGTCTATTATGTTGATTGATCTGTCATTGTATCCGCATGATTACATATCAGAGTCCAATTCCAGTCTATTTCTGATAAGTAGGTATTTAAATCGTCAAAATTAGTTTTATTAAAAATATATATTCTTTTGTCAAGAAGTTTAAGGAGCTTAGCGCAAGACACAGACCAGATTCTTGTAAATTTGTTACAGCATCTCTGTTGCAGAGAATTAAATCCAATGTCCTATTAATATTATTATTATTAATGATTATATTGCATAAATCCGAGATATGAAAATGTGTCGATTATTTCTGAAAATTTGTTCCCGGATTGAATTGCTTCTAAAAACGATTCGTTGGGAATTAATTGCCAACTTACCGCGGACATGTTGAAATCTCCAACGAACAGGACGGATCTCTCAAGTAGAATGCCATTAGGATAATCGGATGTCACTTTTTCCTTGCAGGACGCTCTCATCCGACGGCTGGGCCCTAACTCCTATCCGTTCACGATGGAAATCACTCCGCTAGCGCCACCTAGCGTGCAACTGGTACCCGCCAAAGAATATAACGGAGCACCTATCGGTACGAGTTACGACGTCCGAGCTTACCTGGGTAAGTTGCCACAGTCTAGAGTAACTATAATGTTTTGATGGTGATGATGTGATGATGGTGAAACTTATATCTTTTTTTCAATGTCTGTCCATTCTCGGTGTCTCGTCTGTAGAATTGAGGTGGCTGGGGGGTCGACAAGTATTTAAAAAAAAAACCGCGTGTGCAAGGGTCCAAGTACAAAATCGTTTCTCGAAAACCGTTTACCAAACCGAAACAAATCTTGAACGGAAAGACTTAGAAGATTCGGCTCCAATAACTCTTATTCTTCACAATTTTTCAAGAATGTATTCGAAAAAACTGAAAAATGGGTTCCCCTATTAATGAAATTAGGTTACAACCAAAAGAATATATTTAAGACGTCGGTTCCTTTTACATGACAACATAGCATAAATAGCTAAAACTTTTGTATTTAAGGTTTTAATCTATTATACAGGGTGTTAGCGATATTCCGTGTAATAATAAAAAAACGTAATAGGTGCCCTAAATTTGCACATACCAGCTTAAGCTTTTATAAATAAATAGATGTCCAGATGCAAAATATTTCTTAAAAATTAAAAACAAAATTTTGGTTTTTTTGGTTTCCGCAAAAAAAGTATTTTCTCCCAAACTTTTAACACAGACAGACGCGGAAGATCCAGAACTATAACTTTTATTTCAAGCGTTTTTTCGATTATACACAGGGTTTTTGAATTATGGGCAAAAATGTTAAAGACCCTGAAAATTGTCCCCTTCCAAAGTAAATTATTAGCCGTAAAACAAAATTCATAAAAAATATATTAAATTTGTTGAAACAACATTATAGGCCACGTCAAGAGCTACAATTTCTGTATTAACGCCTTTCGTCTCTCACATAGGCTACTCGAGATATTTGAATAAATCCATGAAAATCGCTATTCCTCGCACTTCATCTAGACGCGATGACATCGCTTACTATTACGTGCTTTCAGAAAATGTTCACCCCATTGAAAAAATTCATATACCAGGAAAAGTGGGAGACCCAGGGCTAGAACCTCTATAACGAATATTGGTTGAATTATGTACAGGGTATGTCGATTATGGGCAGAAAATCTAAAAGTTATTGGCGATAAATGAACAACTGTCAACGATGGAATCATTTCCTTTGAACCCAAGCATAAAAAAATACTTTCTTGTTCTGAAACTATTTATTTTGTTGCACTTAAGAATATATTACATGTGTCAAAAAAAAAACTCGAAAAATCCAAAAAAAATACTGGTGCGTAAACGAACCACTGGGAAAAAACATTAAATAATGTTTTCTTGGCACATAAGATGAAACATATAATGTATACGTAAATATACAAAAGAAAGTTCAAATTCGACAGAAAACAACTAAAAGTAGATTGTTTTCCGAATAGAACCTGATTTGATACAAAAAAAACCCATAATATTTCATGGTGCGTGACCGCGCCACTGGTAACACCCGGTTTTAGTTTTGGTGATATTTTACACAGCATGAAGTCTGTAAATGCACATTACACTTATTACAAACATAAATTGTGCGGCTTTGGCAGATTCTACATCTCCTTCCGGCTTTATTAGCATGAACAATTTTAGTTTTATCAGTTTTTAAAAGTCGCAAAGCAATGTAAGTTTTAAAATCAAAACTTCGTCATCAAAAAACATAAAACATATTTCAAGCGGAGTTTTTCCAGAAAGCCTATTTTTTAGTTTCTCACATGATCTAAATTTACCGGTTATAGGTGTGTGAGTGTACTCAATCTGACCTTTCTTCCATCTGACAGTAGAAGCAAGCCTGTCGTTTGAATTTCAGGGTTTCATCATCTGATGAGTCCCATTCAAGTTCAGTAGTTGATGAATTACAGGACTGTTGAAGGACCGCTGTATCATTCGGTGTATGTAACTAACTGGAAAGTTCCAACTATATCAGTTGGTTCCCCAAACTCTTGTAGATTTATGTTATCGTAAATCCAAATAATACTTACGACTTTCATTGTTATTGTCTTCATCAATCACGATCTCCTCCATAGCCGCCTCTAATTCCTTTTGAGTCAAATACCTCGGAAATGCCATATTTTACGAACTGTGACGTTCACTGCACAAGGCACAAACTAATACTAAAGAACACGCTAATTGTTGGATGCTTATTCTACACGCGCTGACTTGTCTAGACTTGCAATAACAAAGTTTTGTTTCACATATAAAACCTTTACACATAAATTAGCGATTTGTTCGGTTTTATGTCCTTTAGTAGTGATAATAATAAAATTTCTAAATGGATGTGCAAAAATATTTCCAGTATTAACGCACCATTGGGACAAAATGGGTTAATTGTGTCGAGAGAAAGTATCAGGTTTCGGCACTCGATGTACAAATATTGATATTTAAGAAAGTTTGCGGTATCTTTGAAATTCTGCGAGACGTGCAAGACACTTTATACAGGGTGCATAGTGATCCGCAGGAGCACGATAGAAAAACGATGCGTCCCTCTAGGACAAAATACGAAGCCGCGTAGCGACGATATTACGAAAGCACTTTTGTTCTGTTGTGTTTTAAGAACACTTAAAAATATATGGTTTTGCGGCAGCGGGAGGGAAGGAGTTGCACCCGGTATACTACAGCTGAAAAAGGATAAAAGGGTTTTGCCATTTTGACGTCTCTCAACAATTTATAGGATCCCTTGTGTAAATGCGGCCCTCCCCGAGTACCTTTCCGAAACGCACGGTTCTATATATACATCATCATATTTTCGGGTCTCGCGCGTTTCAAAAAAAAAAGAGGGGACGTCACGCGCGATAAATTTCAACACCTCCAACACATGTAATCCCGATTATGGCCGATCGGAAAAACCGGCGAAGGTCGTAATATCGTCGAGGATCGATGGCGAATCGCCGGGGGCACTCAATTTCGCCGACCGCTACTCAATCACCACCGCACACGCACCCGACTTTACCAGCCCTGTCGCGATTACAAGTGTTGTTTTGTCGACTTCGTTTGGCGCCTTTGTCGCTTCTGATTCGCCGCCCGTCGTTCGTTTGTTTTCGTCTGACCTCAGAATAAACCCAAACAGAAGTGACGAAGAACGTCTGGTGTCACGCTTCACCGTGGTCTAAGTCACCTGATAGGTAAAGACAAAATTCCTATTCTGGGAATTTCAAGAAAGGGTCAGGTAGTAGAGAGTCCAAGCTACCTCTCAACAATGGGAAACTAACTGAAACTGGCTCGCATTTTACTCTGTACCTGCTTTTATATGAATGATTCCCATATTGGTGACAGGTAGAGACCTGAGTCGGTAGAAGAATTGATTACGTGCAAGAATATTAGTTTTATTGAACAAAATTTTATATCCGGTTTCGACCGACGCAGGAGGAATCCAGAAGTTTTGTAAAAAGATCTTTGATCCGGTCTCTCCAATGTGGTTTTTTGCCGCATATGCATGTAATGTTATAAACTTCTGGCATCTCAAATGGAATTTTGTCTTCGACGGATTGAATTTATTTAGAGATTTTTGGACAGAGTGGTAAATCTGGTTTTCACGTTGTATTTATTTAGAACTTTTGATATGTGGTCAGTGATGTTTTTAATCTAAGGACGGACAACAGTGGCAAGTGTGGGATTGCTTTCGGTTTTCATTGCTATTGGCCCAAAAATCATCGTTTATCAACTCTCTTGTTTGCAGAGCCGTAAAACTCTCTCAGTTCGAGTCATTGAACCCAGAATTAAAACATAACATAACCTCTGGTCTTCTCTCTAAGAAGTTTCACATTGAAGCGTTCCATCACAAAATACACTTCATCACAACCTTCCAATAGCAATGAAACCGAAAGCAATTCCACACTTGCCACTGCGGTCGTTATATTCAAAACAAATATCAAAATTTCCAAAGAAATATAACGTCAACCACTTGTTCAAGAACCTCTCAAAATCTTCGATCCGTCAAAGACAAAATTCCGTTTGAGATGTCAGGATTTTACAGCATTCCATATGCGGCAAAGACTACATTGGAAAGACCGGACGAAAAATATCAACTAGGCTCAAAGAACACGAAAGAGACTTAATAAACTCGTCAGCATTTGCCGATCACGAAACCGGACATAAAATTTCATTCCTGATTATTCCTGAGTTCGAGTCACCAAAATCCGACGCAAGAGGAATCCAGAAGTTTTATAAAAATGAGAAAGTTCTTACGTATTTGGCTTTACCGCCCTAACTTTAGTTGTAATTTAGTGTTTTTTGAGAGTGGAGAGCCTTTTAGATTGTGATTTTTTTATCACATAAAGTGAATTAATGTGGACTCAAGTTATTTCATAGTATTTTGGCATTGTCGTGGCAACTCCATCAGGTATGTAAATTTTATTTTTTAGTTACTTAAAAAGGGTAACGTAAAAAATCTCATCTCATCTGAAAAAATCATCATTTTCTACTCTATTTTGCAAAATCAGACAGAAGTTGCAAGCTGTCAACAGGACCGAGCAAAAATATGTGCATAAAGTATTAATACAAGGAAAACGAGTAGTAGAAAATGCGCCATTATAAATTGGACAATTATCCGAGGAGGCTCAAGAGGCCAGAAATAAAAACCTAAGGAAGTATCGTGAAGATTTCTCTCGAAAGTTTTCTCGTGTAAAAACAATGGAAGATGTTTTCAATAGACTTCTTGTATCGAAGATAATGACTTTAAGATTGCTTCGGAGTTAAGTGAGAGCGATTCAGAATAATAATGAGTTAGTAGTCCTTAAACTTACCTTAATTAGTAATAACTAAATTCGGAGGACTAATCAGTAAGTAGTCCTTAAGTTTACCTTAATTAGAAATACTTAAATGTATATTAGTTTTTCTGGTGACAATAAATATATATTACATATTGAATCGCATTATCTTTATTACAATCATAAGGGAGGTAGCGAGAAGGGTCAAGATTTAAACTACCCTCCAGATTCCTAAGAAATGTGTGACAATTAAGAATCTTTGTTTCTCAACATAACCCTTATAATTAATCTTCCTCCCATAGGTCTTTATTT